CTCCTCTCCGTTGCTTATATAATACCACAAATACGATGCAAACTCTTGAAAGCCTTGATTTCTTGTCCAGGCTCATTAAGTATCTGTAGACTCTCTTGTGTTGTTTCCTCATTCATACATTCTGCTACACAGCTACCTGAGTAACGTGGGGAGTCCCCATTCTGGGGGGGGGGACGACTCATTGATCATGTGATTGCCATGGTGAAAGGGAGATAAAAATGTATTCATAATTTAAAAGTAGAAAGGCTATATAGTCATGTAAATATGTATGTGTGTGTGTATGGACAAAGAGACTTGAGAAAACACGGTGGTGAAACTGTTTTCATAGTGAGAAAACATCCCTTGTCTGCGTCCAAATTTAGTGCTGGTGTTTTTCAAACAGACTACAGTATCTCATTCCGAAGAGTAATATTCCAGTCCACCCCCCTTGGCAGCCTGCACATGGGTCCAGTTTTGAGGTTGATTCCTAACGCAGAAATCATGGACTTGACCATGGCCTCAAAAGGGAATAGTACACACTTTCCAAAGAACTGGAACAGAACAACGCCTCGGGGAACCTCAGCTTGAGCAAGCCCGCCGAACAGCTGCTGCTAACCTTTTTTCGGTTGAGTTTGCTTGTGAATGGAGCATTGCTCACATCTGCCACGCCCGACCTCTGGCACACATGACTTCCTCTTCCACTGGAACTCAAACTCAATCTCATTCTTCTCTGCCTGTTTCCTTCAGTAGAGTGTTTTTCATAACTGTATTTAGGGTGGTGTTTTTTTTTTTTAAAGATGTGAAAGAATAACAAAGAACAAACTATAAAACATGCAAGATGCTGGATGCATAATGTCAGTGCTGCCGGACCCCCTGGGGTCTCTCACTCAGAGGAGACGTAAGGCCAGTTACCTCTGCAGCTCCTCTCCTCCTCCTGCCCTGTGAGGCAGAACTCATACCTTATTCTTCCTCTCTAATGCCTCTGTCACTGAGATGAGAGAGCGGGAACACTTTAAGCTCTTTTCAGCATAACCAGTTGATAACTGAAAACGGATTGCCATGAGGTCATTGAAAGGCTATCCTCTGGAGGCTCAGGGGATGGTTCAGCCAGTAAATGCTTGCACAACAAGCCCGAGGACCCGAGTTGGATCCCCAGCACCCACGTACAAGCCAGGCATAGTTAGCCCACGGCTGTAATCCCAGCCCTGGGGAAATGGAGACAAGGGGGTGTTTGTGGCCCGCTGGCCAGCTAACCTAGCCGAATAAGCAAGCTCCAGATTCAGTGAGGCCCTGCCTCAAATCATCATCGTCATAATAATGTTGGTCCAGAGACATGGTTCAGCAGGCAAAGGGGCTAGCCATGCAAGCCTATGGCTGAGTTCCATCCTTGGAGCCCACAGAAAGGTCAAAGGAGAGAACCAGATTCACAGAGTTGCCCTCTGACCTCCACAGACATGCCCTGGCATGTAAGCACCGGCACTTAGGCACACCATACAACGTCAACACAAAAAACGCAAATCTCTCCTCAAAAGGGATCAGAGAAGGTTTATTCTGGAACCAAATATGGGTGGTCAGTGGCCTGGCAACATCGATTTGGGTTACTTCAACGTTCATGTTCCAAGATGAAGTTTGTATAGAAACAGAAGAAGGACAGTTGTGAATCAAGAAACCTTGCAGATACGTTAATGGAAACAATTGGTAGGCAGGTTAGAACAGAGCGAGCGGGGGAATTTCTGCTCTGGGTCTCTGGTACTGTCTGACATTCTTAGCCTTTGGGTTGATAGGAGCTAGGTATCAGCTTGTTTACTCCAAAGGACTTACCTGATGGTCACCAACAGAGGAGGGCAATACATGGCTCTTAAGAAGACTGAGAATAACCTGAGATAAGTTGACTCTGGGTTTTGTAACATTCCAAACGCTCCTGAAGTTTGAATCCGTTCATTGCAGAAGCGTCAGTAGGAGATGCAGCTTCTTTCAGAGAACTGTCCTTCACAACAATAATAAATAATTGTTAAAGATTAGATAAGTAAGGTTGACAGATACAGAGGAAGGCACACACCTCAACCTCTGGCCTCCACATGTAGGGAGAAGGGGAACGAGCGGGGAGGAGGAGAGGGAAAGGGAGGGAAAGGGGAGAGGGAGGAAAGAGAAAATAGCCCCTGTGGAACTTAATGCAGAAACCCATCAAGTGGCCAGAGAGCCAAAAATAAGCAAAAGTGGAGTGCAGAGTCCTGAACAGGATGGCTGTGCCACACCCAGCAAGCCTCAGGGGACATCACAAAGAGAAAGAGAAAACAGAAGAGCCAGGAGCTGGAAAGATGCTCAGCAGAAAGATGTCTTCTGGACATCACACAGCATTGCACTCGCGAACTCACCGCTGCTGTGGTTATCTGCATAAGACCTGTGCAAGACTGGGCCGGTCCACAGATTTCCTCATGAATGGGGAGGGGTCCTCCCTAGGGAATTCTCTGCTAAGGGGATAGGATGTCATTTTCTCTAGCAGTGTAGCCATGATACATTGCTTATGTTCCAGTAAAAAACTTCCCTCCCACACTCATGCAAGAAACCCTAGCTAACCTCAGTGGGAGTGCTGGAGAGGAAAAAGTTTCAGCAGGAGAGGGAGGGGGATGAGAGAGAGGGGAGCTGGGATGAAATGACTAAAACGTACTACATGCATGTAGAGCATTACATTACATACATGTACAATACCGTCAAAGGGCAACAAAATGGGGAATGAGAGGAGACTCTAACCCGAGGAATGAAGGGATGTGGGTAGCACACGCCCATAAGCACAGCACTCAGGAGGCTGAAGCAAAAAGATTATGGGGTTGAAGCTACATTACGTAGAGAGACCCCCATCTCAGAGAGAGGAGAGGTGTTGAGGTACCACCTCTGCAAGGAGTTAACAGAAGGTGGGGTCCTTGAGCAAAACCTTGGCTTGAAGACTGCAGGCCTCTGGGGATGAGCCCAGACAAGCTGATCAAGCAGATGGAATGGGTTGGGGTGTCAGTATCTTATTCTTTCCCCTGTTTCCTGTCCTCGCATGGCACTCTCGTTCTTTTCTGTTCTAGAGCAGAACCTGCTCAGCCTCTTCCTTCCCAGAACAGTCGACCCCAAAAGAAGGAAGGACGGTTCAGCATGCTCAACCAAATCTTCTGCAAACACAAGAAAGAAGAGCAGAAAGCCAATCACAAGGACCGCAGCAGGGACAGGCATAAGGAGGACACCACCTCGGAAGTCAATGACATCATCACCACCTTCGACAGCGTCGTCGTGGATACCAACTGCCAAGATCAGCCTGGTGACCAGGTGGCTATGGTTGTCTTTAAGAAGAGGACCTCAGAGAATTCAAAGTATCTCTTGCCAGAAAGGAAACCTCTGGCCCGGAAGGGGCTCCCACCAATCAGAACACAGAGTCTCCCACCCATCACCCTGGGCCAAAATCTCCTGACAGCCTCCCATGGAGCCACTTCCCATACTGGCCTGAGCTCTGGTCCTCAGCATCCTGCCCAACGTTCTCAGAAAAGTCGGAGTGAACAGGACTTACTAAATAATAGGACTGGCTGCCAGATGTCACTAGACAATCCCTTGAAGGGGGACACTAATCAAGCATTCTCCTCCAAGGCTTGGACCGTGTCTTCTTCCGATAAGTTACTAGACAGGTTATTTGCTGGCCAGCCTGGTCACCAGGAGCCCTCTGGGCCACCTCATCTTCCTCATCTACATAATCCCTCACCAGGTAACAGCCTTACTTCCTTCTTCTCTTTCCTAAAGGCCTCCCTCATGCATGGAGTGTCTCTTGTAGAGTTAAGCTAGTAACTGCCAGATGAGTAGCCTGCAGGCGAGGGCGATCACATAGTAACTACAGTCGCTTTTATTTTTTTCCCCCGGACAAAATAAATGTTTGAAGATTTCTGGGAAGTAAAACCTTTCAGCTTTTCCACCCTGTGTGTGCTGAGGTAAAAGTGTGCTGTTCTCGAAAAACAGCAACAGAAACAAAAAGAGTATTGCTGTTTCCTCTAAAAGTGATTTCTTTATTGGAGTTCTGTGGCCCTCTCATTCCCTAGATGCTAATTTTCTTGTGCAGTTAGTTGTGTGTTTTAAGCCATCATTCAGTTCTCCGCCCGAGATCTATCCCACCAACACCTGTGGTGAGAAAAAATGCCAATACCTTGTTTGGATCTGTGTAGAAAAAAATGTGACATATTCGCACATGTATGGTTTATACCTCCCTGCACACCAAAGGCTTGCATGGTTCTTCTCCCTCTCCCCTCACCCAAAGCTACCAATGTCATTCAATTTTTTAGCTTATACTTCCAGACACATGTTACACATTTGGGTATAGGCCTATGCTTATAAACATGAGATCTCTCTTTCCTCTTCTCAGTACTCCTGCTCCTGACAGCTTCGAGGAGTCTCAGCTTTTCTGTCCTGCTGTTTTGCTCTCACACTCAAATAACCTTGTCCTGAGCTTTAAGAACAATTTCTGCAAATAAACAGGAACTCTGTACATATCCCCTTGTAATAATTATCATAGTGAAGAACTTAAATTTGGGGGAGGATGTTGGCTCACACCTTTAATCAGGAGGCAGAAATGGGTGGATCTCTATGAGTACATCAAGCCCAGCCTCGTCTACATAGAGAGCTCCTGGACAGCCACACCTACATAGTGAGGCCCTTTCTCAAAAAACAAAAAAACAAAAACAAAAAAAAACCCTTACATTTTATATACATACAAATATTACATATTAAATATATTAATATTCCATATTATAAATAAAGCATCACACTAAGCAATTCATTTTGCTGTTTAAGCAATGCATTTTGATGTTTCATTTTGCTTTTTGAGAGGGTTAGCATTGAATTTACTATGTAGCCAAAGATAACCTTGACTCCTAGTCTTCTGCTCTCGCCCTCCATGTGCTGGATTATAAGTTTATGTCTTCTTGCCCAGCTCTTATTTTTATTTTTTAAAAAAAGTGATGCATAAGGGATTCTGAGCCCCTCTAAGGTTGTAAAACAACTTCCTAACTCTGCTCACTGCTGCTCACATGGTGCCTTGGTTTGCTTTTAAATAAATTAATTCCCAATACTTAAAACATGACATTTTATATAAAAATCTACAGAAAGAGTCTAACTTTCTCTTGGGAAATCTAAGCCAACATTCTCACGAGACAATAACTGATTAGCTCTGAGGCATCATGGTACTCACTTCTGCTTGCATTTCACTGGCCAGAACTGGGGTCACATGCTCACACCTATCTACAAAGAGGATTGGGAACTGGAGGCTTTATAGCTGGGTGCCTTGTTCCGACCTCCAAATCAGATTTCTGCTTCTCAAGGAGAAGAAAGAGAGTAGACATTGGGAAGGGAACTAATGGAGTCTGCCTGGAGTATCATCCAAAGCATCTACATCATGTGAGCAGAAGAACGTTAGATACAATTGCTCTGGGCTGGGCCCCAGAGAAGTAACCAGTGAAGTCCTGGGGCTGCAGAACTATGAAAAGAAGTGAAAGTTAGTAAGGGATTCTGAGGACGTGAACAGTGCTTATAGGAACACATTTGTTACTTATTAGTGCTAGTTATAGCTAGGAGCCATTCATGGACACTGATTCGGTGGTGGCCCATGCCTTCAATCCCAGCACTTAGAAGGCAGAGGTAGGAGGATCTCTGTGAGTTCGAGGCCAGCCTGGTCTACAGAGTGAGTTCCAGGATAGGCTCGAAAGCTACACAGAGAAACCCTATCTCAAAAAACAACAACAACAAAAAACAAACAAACAAAAAGGACACTGATTCATGGTAACGCAAATCTCCTAAGAGTCTTTAGCCCATAAATGAGCTTCAAGGGAGACAACTGCTGGATGATTATGCAATTGAACTTGGGACCTCCTGAATGCAAGCAAGCACCCCATCCCATCCCCAGCATAACACTGGGGGATATGAGCTAACTTTATGGATAGGCCTGGAAAAGGAGAGAAAGAATAGGGATTAAAGTAGAGATCCAGTCTCTGAGGGCATAGCTGGCTCTAAAGATTCACTCCCTTGAATTCCACCTGGCCGCCTCAGTTCCTATCACATCCGTGTAGCATGTCAGTGGCCTGATCACTGCACATTGCTGCACGGAGAGCCATATCTTCCACACATGAGCCTTTGGAGGACATTTCAATTCTCAAACCATAGCATTTCCCACCTGCAAAGTGGAAGACAAGCCCTGACTCACGGGGTTGGGAGTAGCTGTTAGGATTAAGTGAGTTGAAGGCCTGGGAGATGCTCAGTGCTTGATAGGAAGGTATGAAAGCCTGAGCTTGGATTCCCTAGAAACCATGTAAATACTAAGTAGGTGTGGAAGCCTTGGAAAACAGAAACAGGGACCCCCAAGAGCAAGCTGCCAAGGAAAACTAGACATATCAGCTAGCTCTGGGTTTGATTGAGAGACCCTGCCTCAAAGAATAAAGTAAAAGTGATCAAGTATGATTATTAACAGCAACCTCCAGCCACCACATGCATATACATACAAGTGCCTACACACATGCAAAATAACTAACACCACACACACTCACTTCACACTGACTCACACACATACACTCACATACACACACACTCACACAACTCTCATACTCACACACACACAGTCTCACATATACATACACTCACACACACCCTCACACTCACACACACAGAAAACAGACTGAGTTGGTATAGACAAAGTAACACCGTGACTAGCAGATGCTACTAGACAGATACGTTTTGCTGTTGGTATTAGTGTTGCTTTGGTTTGGTTTGGTTGTTTTTATGTTTTGGTTTGGGGGTTGTTCATTTGCTTTTTGTTTTTTGAATCAAGGTCCCAGTCTGCAGCTCAGGGTGGCCTTGAACTCACAGCAATCCTCCTGCCTTAGCAACCAAGTGTTGGGATTATAGGAGTAAGACACTGTGCCTGGCCTCCAGTTTGATGTGGATTAGTCCCTGTGCTAAGCACTACACGTTAGAAACAAGCTACTAATGACCTGTATTTTAAAAACAATGAGGTTTAAGCCAGGTGTGGTGGAGTGCCTGGAGTATAGTCACAACTACTCAGGAAGGTGAGGCTTCTTATTAATGTAGCATAGGCCACATAGTGAGACCTAAGAAGGGGGGAAGGAAGATGGGAAGGGAGAGAGGGAGGAAGGGAGGGAAGGAAGGAGGGAGGAAGGGAGGGAGGGAGGGAGAAAAGGTGTTATCAATTATTGTGTGTGGGGAGGATCCCGTGCGTGCATCCACGTGGAAATGGTTTATTATAATGAGGAATAAAGAGAAAGATAGGAAAAGACAGAAGGGGTCGTCGAGGGTGCACAACATGTGCGAGAGAAGCAGAAAGAGAGAGAGGAAGGGGCGGAGTTTCCTTAAAAAGAGGCTTTCACGTCAGGACACAGGGCGGCTCCAAGGGCCGGGTCAGCATGTTAACAGAAGGAAGGCATGCCGGCTGGCACTCTGGGTCTGCTAGTTCATGCCTGTAATCCCAGCACTTGGGCGCAGACGTGAGGATCAGGAGTTCAGCGTCATCCTTGGCTACACAGCGAATCAAAGGCTAGCCTGGGTAAGAGAGACCCTGTCTCAGCGGCTCCTCTGACCCCTAAAAAAGAAGAAAGGAAAGGGAGGTGGGAGAAGCGAGTCCAGGGCGTGTTCCGTTCCGTCCCTCAGGGCTGTGTTTTCCAGGCTCCTTGCCTGCTGACTTCAAGGTAGCATCATCCAGTAGGAGGCACAGAGAGAAGAGGAGGAGGATGAGAGGAGTAGAGACCCAGTGGATCTCCATGGCAACCCTGCCTCCTGTGGGAGCTGTAGCGCGAATTCTAATTGGTCTTTATAATAAAAAACCCAGAGTCAGATATCAGGGTGAAAGCTGAAAGTTCAGAGAAGCAGCCAGCCACCAGAAAGACTTCTTCCCTCTAGGAGTCCTCAGACTGAAAGGGGCCGAGCTCCTGTCTCCACCCCACCTTATCACTTCCTCTCTCTGCCCAGCCACATCACTTCCTGTTTCCTCCTCCCAAGTGCTGGGATTAAAGGTGTGAACCGCCATTGCCTGGACTCTAGTGGCCAGCTCTGCACTCTGATCTCTAGGCAAGCTTTATTTCTTAGAGCACAAGCAAAATGTCACCACAGGGTGCTTCAGCAGGCACAATCTCCTTCAGCTCCCTCCACAGACACGGCTCGGGGCTGTGATTCCCACTCAGTTTCTGGGCTGTAGTAGCATTTTGTCTCCTCCTACGACCCCTCCAGCAAGGGCTGGAACAACCCCTCAATCTAGGGCTTGTGTTTGGTTTTCTAGCTTTTCTAGGATTATAACAAACATCTGTATGAAATTCCCTCTTTGAAAGGCCTAGAGGGCTCTGTTAGATGGACTTTGATTAACAAGGCAGGAAATGTCTTTCTGTACTACAGTGCCAAAGGACCATCAAGAAGACGTGGGGGTTGCGACATGTTTGTGTTATAAGGCCCTTCCTTGTCATAATTCACATCACCTAGAAAAAGCTAAATGATTTGTTCGGTGATATTCCAGCCCACTGATGATATATTCAAAACTTGAGTCCAGCACTCCCACACAGGGATAGCCCAAGTATTGACACTGAATTCGTTGACATGCTTACCAATTCTATATCATAATTTTCTTTATCAATTATGTCTTCCCCAAATGAACAGACGTCCCTATTTTCTGAACTTTATTCCTGTGGACATCTTAACACCATTTGATACATTGTTTTTAGA